TAAACTAGTACTTCTTCCTCCTCCAGCTTCCTTTGGGGCTTTTCTAAAAGCTCTGAGAGGGTAGATGAAATGCCTTTCATTTTATGAGACTGACGCGCTGCCCAATGCGCCAAGAGGGCTGTTGTAAGGCCTTTCATTTTAAATTGAAAATTCTCCTGCCCAAAGAGAAAAGTTGTTTTGTATTTGGTCTCCACAGAGTCTATAGCTCTGTCCACAATTAGAGGAGACTGGTAGCTGCGATACTGGCCCCGGATGCCAGAACTCTTTCCCCAGAGACATGAAGAACTTTGCTCCCCTCTCGAGTTGCTTATATGGCTCGGGTAAGCGCTTGGGAGCAGATTTTTATCTTGGAGGCTACTGTGTAAAAACTAATACCAAGGGCTAACGGTCTAGGAGCTTAAGCATGTAGAAAAGCTTTCTCCTATGGATTCATTAATTAGGGCCATCTCTGATTGGGGGATATTGTGGGGCTCCCCTTTCTCTCTTCTCCCCTTGAAGAATAGGATATCCCAAATTCTGTAGTTACTCAAACTGGTCAGTGGGCATTTGGGGTTGGGAGGATTCTTAAAGATCATTCAGTTTTAGCCAGCTATGTGCTCAAGTGGCTGGACCGCAGATACCGAGAAAGAAGCTGTTTTGCTCAAACCAGAAAGAACTGACCTCAGAATTAATGGCCGGTCCTGTGGTTCCAGGCAGCTCTGAGCTGCCATGTTGGGAGAGGAGGAGAGATTGAGACCATGGAAGGTGGACAGCTATGGAAGCCAGATGCATTGTGGGAACTTCCAGTGGTGCCCTGACTGTCCCTCTCCATGTCTGCTCTGGGGGAGTCCCAAAAGCCAGGCTGACTGGGACATGATTATATAGAAGCTCTGCAAGCTTGGCCGCACATCTACAGGGCCCTACAGGGCCAAAGCTCGGCCACAAAGGCACGCCCTCTCAGGGACGCCCTCCTGAGGGACTCCACGTCTGGCTGTTCCAGCCCCACACTGAGCAAGATCATGGCTGGTTCTCAGTTTCCTATTCCTAAGGTTTAGCCTGGAAACTTTCCCTTAGAACGGGGCTCAGCCCTAGAGGCCTGGATGGGGGCCTGGGGAAGAGCCCTGGTAAGCAGACCGCCGCCCCATCTCTCCATCCTTACCAATTCCTCAGTAACCCCCGCGATCTGGCAAGGTCCATCCAGCTCAGATCTCTGGTTACACGTGTGTGTTTTGGTTGATGCAGGCAGGGATGGGGGGTGGGGGGTGCTTGCCCTCCAGCCTTGGATTGGAATTCCCCCATACCAGCCTACCTTTAGGTTCTGCGTCATTCATTGTCCCCTGCTCGCCCATCTGCATGGTGTTTCTTAGCCTCAGGAATCACCGGTCCCAGGGGTGCTGGCCAAGGCTTGAACCAGAGCCGCCAAAGATGGATGGTAGACCAGCTCCTCCTCCAGGGGCCCTTTGTGGTCTCAGATCCGCGCCAGGGGGCTAGGCGGCTCCCTCCTGAAAGGAAATTTCATAGGAACCAAGGATCCTAGGAACAATTCTCCATCAAGAGGAAGGGTGGCCTAAAGACTTTCCCGCTTTCTTCCAAGAGCCTTTCTTCCCTTTCTTCCGCACACACGTTAAACACCCGGGTCAGGCAGATTTTTCAGGACTGTAGCGGAACACACCGCACCCAGCGAGATTTCCCCACCCGCTCTTGGATGGCAAAGCGTCCCGAGGACCGGTCGTCCTGACCTCCGAAGGCACAGCTGGGGAGCGTGGGAGCCTCCTCCTAGACCACCCTTCCACCCACGCAGAGACTTCTGTGCCGTCGGATGCGCCCTCCCAACTGGGAGCCCTTACCCTGAGGCAGAGGCTCTACGTCTAGACGGAAGTTCCCGCTGGACCAAAACCTGCTTAGTGCGGCGGCGTCGGAAGCGGTGCGCTGGGGCGCGTGCGACCGGGCTCAGGATCGGCGTTCCCTGGACGCCACTTTGGCCCCGCCAGACCCCTACATCCCTGCCCCGCGGCCCCTCGGGCTTCGCCCGGGGCCGCTTCAGAATTCTTGTTAGGATCCTAAGAAGTGTGCCCTGGGCTGGGGACTGTACGTGCCCTGTATGTCACTTTCATTTAATCCTCCCCACAGTAGAACTGGATAGAGGGCAGTTGTTACTATTGGGGTTTTGTTTGTTTGTTTGTTTTTGTTTTATTGTATATAAGAAAACTAAGGTTTAGGAGATTAATTGGTCCCGTTTCTTGAGGCTAATGAGTGATGAAGGCTGGACTCCAGCACGTGTCTTTAGGGCCCCAAATCCAGGCTCTGACCATTTCACTTTCTCTTCCCTGTTCAAACACCAAGCGGTTTCCAGACTTTGAAATGGAAATACATCTCATTAAAAAGTACAAACCCAGACTGAAAAGAGACATAAGATATTTGAGAAGTTATCAAAGGGAAAAGGGAAAAATAAAGGGTTTGGGAAAATAAAATATTGACCCTCCCCCCTCCTGATTTTTAAAACTACAAAGGTGGGGACTAAATTCAACTCCCCTACCTCCCCCCTACTCCACCCTACTTCTCCCCATTGTGTCTCACTTAAGAGCTGGGTCTGTTTGAGCAACAACAGAGGCATGCTGGGAAATTTTCACCTACACCCCAATGTCTGAAGCCCAAACTCCTGAGCGCCTCACAGCTGGGCTGCCCACACTCCCCCACCCCCGGCACTGTGGAAAATATGCTGTCGTTGATCTGCTAAGTCATTTTCCAATTCTATCCTGTCCTGGGGGAAAATAGGGGTCTGGTTAGCCTGAAGTTTGCAAACCGGTTTCCATGGCTCACACGCCTTGAAATTGGAGGTGAAAGTTGGTGCGTGTGTTTCTCTGGGATATGGACCCACACTTTATTAATTAGTTTTCTAGCGGCACATTTCACATATCAGAATAGTAAATAATAAAGCAAAAAGAAGTAAAATTTACATACGCAGAAGAGAATAATGCTTTTCCTTTAAAAAATTTTTAAATGTTTTATTTATTTCTGAGAGAGAGAGAGAGAGAGAGAGGCAGTGTGAGCAGGGGAGGGTCAGAGAGAGAGGGAGTCAAAGAATGTGAAGCAGGCTCCAGGCTCTGAGCTAGCTGTCAGCACAGAGCCTGACTCGGGGCTCAAACCCACGAACCATGAGATCATGATCTGAGCCGAAGTCGGACGCTTAGCCGACTGAGCCAGCCAGGCACCCCAATAATGCTTTCTTTATACTTCTCATTCAGTCTCAATAATTATCAACTGCTGGCTGGCTTTATTTCAGGGTTGGGTGTTTTTTTTAAAGTATTTTAAAGCAAATCCTAGATATCATTTTACCCAAAATTACTTCTGTTTAGATGTTTAACAGATAAGGATTTCTTCTTTTCTTTTTCTTTTAAGAAAACTTCCATTGATGATCATATATAGTAAAATTACCACTAATCCTTTACTACTATCCATGTTTCAATTTCCTCCACTGTCTCAAAATTCTTTTTACGATTAGTTTTCCAAAGCCTGACCTAAACAAAATCCACACCTTACACGTGATTGATACATCTCTCACCTTGCTTATAACCGATAATAGTTTCCTCCTCTCCTTTTCCTCCTGCCGTTTATTCATTTAAAACCTGGGTCAACCCAATTCTCAAAAGTATTGGTCATCCTCAGAAAAAATTACCGCTCTGGGGGTGCCTGGGTCACTTGGTGGGTTTAGCATCCGAATCATGATTTCCGCCCAGTTCATGATGTCAGGGTCGTGGTATGGAGCCCTGAGTCAGGCTCCACGCTGAGCGTAGAGCCTGCTTAAGATTCTCTCTTTCTCCTTCTGCTGTTCTCCTTGCTTACTCTGTCTCTCAAAAATAAAACAAAATTAAAAAAAAATTACTGCTCTATGTTGGACCAAACAACTTATTCTTATAAGAATAAGAAGCCACTGGGGCACCTGGGTGGCTTAGTCGGTTAAGCGTCTGACTTTCGCTTAGGTCATGATCTCGCGGTTCGTGGGTTCGAGCCCTGCGTCGGGCTCTATGCTGACTGCCAGCTCAGAGCCTGGAGCCTGTTTCAGTCTGTGACTCCCTCTCTCTCTGACACTCCCCTGCTCACCTGTCTTTCTCTCTTCTAGAAATAAATAAAACATTAAAAAAAAAAAAAAAGAAGCCACTGGGGCTCCTGGGTGGCTCAGTCAGTTGAGCATCAGACTTCGGCGCACATCATGATCTCGCTGTTCGTGGGTTCAAGCCCTGCATCGGGCTCTGTGCTGACAGCTAGCTCAGAGCCTGGAGCCTGTTTCAGGTTCTGTGTCTCCTTCTCTCTCTGACCTTCCCCTACTCACGCACTCTCTCTCTCTCTCTTTCAGAAATAAATAAAACATTAAAAAAAAAAAAAAGAATAAGAAGCCCTCTGCTCCCTCTCAAAAGGACAGGAGCCTGCCAGGCAGACTCCCTTCCCCCCAACCCCCCACTTCCTGCCTTGTTTTGGCTCCCCGTTGCTCTTAAAACGGGAGACCCCCCTTCTCCCTTCCCCCCCCCCACTCCCACACAGCCAAGAATACGATCCTCTGAGGAAACATCGGGTTATCCAGCTTCCAGAGAGTGTCCAAGACTGAATATATAGTCCCAGACCTAGAGGCAAAATTGCTGCCATTGGCGGGGGACTGTCTACTTCCTTCCATGGGGGGTGCCCCCAGAGAGCTCCTCGCTCCCCAAGGGAACCAGAGCGCGGTCTGTTTCTGACACGGAGTAGCCAGACTCCAGTAAAAGGAGCATCCTTTACTCCTTCCTGCCCCCTAGGGCATCTGTGACAGGGCCAGCTTGAACTTCTGTCCCTCCCATGTCACCTGCTGCCATCTGTGTGCCCTTGGGCTAGCCATCTCCTCTCTCTGACCCTCAGTCTCTTCATCTGCAAAATGGAAGTGATTCCCTCCACCCAACCTTCTGTACAAGGCAGCTAGGAGACAAAGAGGAAGGAAGCGAAGACTGAAAGTAGATTATACATATATAAATAATGGGTTGTTTCTCTCCTAGTTGGAGGCGGCTGAGAAGGTGAAGATGGCCACAACCTTGTTCTGGCCTCGCTCCGGTGGAGAAGCACCACCCCCACAGCCACGAAACACTACCTCCCCAACTGGGAAGAGACCTGTGCTTGGTGGTGTCCAGTAAGAGAAGCTGTGACCTCTAGGCCTAGAGAGGAGTACCAGGATGCCCTCTCCCAAGTACCCAAGGACTGTCCAGGGGCCTGGAGCCCTCCCCAGCTTCCTCCCTGCAGCCTCTGCCCCCTTCCCTCTTTCCAAGGCTCCCACCTCTGCTGCCTCCACCAACCCAAGGCCCCAGCTCGTTTCCAAGAGGAAGGAGCTCCAGAAGGCACTGGCCGGGGCCCTGGCTACAGACACTGAAGGGGCTGGGGGTGGGGGAAGGCCGGGCCACCCAGCTGCTCCCCTCTACCCTTCCAGGCTGAAGTCCCTCCCACCACCTCTGGGTCCTGCATGAGAGCCAGTGCAGAATGGAGCGCAGACCTCATTGAAGAGCACTCACACTTTTCATTTCCAAACTACACCTAGCTCATAAAAAGCCCACGACTGTAATAAATTCTCCCCCGCAGGACATGGTTTTAATTAATTATTGGGTTATTCAAGGTGACTCATGTGTGAAACACAATTTGCCCTCATAAACTGAATCTCACATAATCCATCCTGAGTAACGGCTGCCTGTGATCCTGAGACACACACAAAACTTGTATTTATCCTTTGAAAGTCTCGGGGGTGGGGGGGATAGAAGTGTGACTTTAGCTTAAAGAGAGCTTACTCATACCAGCAGCAGTGACGCCAAAAGAGAGAGAGACAATGCCTGAGCGATGGAGAATGAGCTTACACAGCTGGCTAGGGGTATTAAGAAATTGAGTCTTGTTTTCTCGACTGCTGATTTGATAGGATTTCTTTCTTAGAAAATCTGGTGATGGGGCGCCTGGGTGGCTGCAGTCCGTTAGCGTCTGACTTCAGCTCAGGTCATGATCTGGTGGTTCATGGGTCCGAGTCCCGCGTTGGGGTCTGTGCTGATGGCTCAGAGCCCGGAGCCTGGTTAGGAATCTGTGTCTCCCTCTCTCTCTGCCCCTCCTCTGCTGCCACTCTGTCTCTCTCTCAAAAATAAATAAACATTTTGAAAAAAAAAAAAATCTGGTGTTTTACACACACACACACACACACACACACACACATGCTTATATTCCTTGTTCACTTGTTTGGCAATATCTGCAAAGGACATGTGTAGTCATCTCACTGCAGAAAAGAAATTTATGCTGAATTTTCCTTCTGCTGAGCCGGCAGCAGCACTTCCTCCTCCTGCTGGGGACTCTGGGTCCTTATCATCCAAGATTCACGTTTGCCTTCTGTCCTGACAGTCACTCCAGTGCAATGTGGAATCTCTTCCTGGGATGTAAACTCCTTTCCATCTAACTTAAATGCTCTTTACTCACCCCCCCCCCCGGGGGGCATTTTAAAAACAAGCTACTTCCACCGGGAGGGCAGGACTATTAGCATTGCAGGGATGGTTCCCAGAATCAAGGAATCTACATTTTAAAAACTTTTTTGACTTGCTGGGGTTGAAAAGCTGAAGCTGGTTCTTTAAAGAGAAACTGGGGGTGCCTGGGGGGCTCAGTCGGTGGAGCACTCGACTTCAGCTCAGGTCTGGATCTTAGGTCAAGATCTCAATGGTTCATGAGTTCAAGCCCCACAGCGGGCTGTCTGGTATCAGTGCGGAGCCCGCCCGCTCCAGATCCTCTGCGCACCCCCTCTGCTCCCTTCCACTCGCACTCTCTCTCTGTCAAAAATAAATATTTTTTTTAAAAAAGAGGACCGGGCACCTGGGTGGCTTAGTCGGTAAAGGGTCCGACTTCAGCTCAGGTCGTGATCTCATGGTTCATGGGTTCGAGCCCCGCGTCAGGCTCTGTGCTGACAGCTAGCTCAGAGCCTGGAGCCTGCTTCGGATTCTGTGTCTCCCCCTCTCTGACCCTCCCCTGCTCATACTGTCTCTCTCTCTCTCACTCAGAAATAAATAAAACATTTAAAAAAAAAAAGGACAAAAAGAAATAAAGAGAATCTGGAAATTCAGTGGTGGGGAGGGGGAGGGGACAGTCTGGGGACTCTTGGAAATGACCAGTTGGCCAGGCTCCTTCCCCCTGACCAAGGCAGTGCAGGGCGGGTAGAAACCTAAGGGGGGGGGGGGCAGGGATTCAAGCCAGCCACCCAGAGTGCAACCAGAGGAGGGGTGGGAGACTTCTGCGTTGTGTCTGGGGTTCCTGCCCCAGAGAAGAGTCTGGGTCTTTGAGGGGGAAAAGGAAGGAGAGACTTGAGGAGACTTTCTCTCAGTCTTTGGCCCCCAAGTGGAGTCCCTCCCAGGGACCCTGTACCGAGCCAGCTCTGAGCTGAGAAAGGCCCCCTCCAGCTTTTTCTTCCTGGTTCTCTTTTCCCTTTTACTTCCTTTAATTCCCTTCCTTGAGTTGGATGCCAGAACTCATTTATTTTTTAGTAAAAGGGAGGCCGGATTCCCAAAACCCCTCAGCTCCCTCTGGCCCCCAGAACTCCATCCTGGCCAGTGCCTCCAGTTCCCCGCGGCCTTCAGTCCGCATCTCAGCCAGAGTCTTGGCCTGGACATTTTGTTTGCACTCACTGCCCGGCCACCGAGACTACGAACTGAAACGAAATAAAATCCTCTTCCGTCTCTGGCTCACTCGAATTTTCAGTTTCAGAAGAAAAGGAACATTGAGGTCATTTCAAAGCGTGTGGGGATTTAATAAACGCAGGGGGTGGAGGGGTCACCCTCCCCATGAAGACAGGCCCCCCCAGCAGCACACACACACCCTCCCCCGTGAAAAGACAGACTGACAGGACCACAGATGGCAGCTGTGTCCTCACACACAGATGTCCCGACCTAGCATTTGAAGGAGCCAATTAACCAGTAACCAGTTAATTCCTTCCCCACCCGGGGGACTGAATCCAGAGGAACCCCCATTCACCCCCAGAGAAAAGGATGCAGTCTGTGCATCCTTAGGAAAGTCCTAGCAAGCCGGACGGGAGGGCGGCAGGGGCTGGAATCGTCCAGCACCCGTGTTGTCACAGGTATAGATGACCCAGCTCAGCACCCGCTAGGCTGGCCTTCTAGGACACCAAAATAGCCAGCCAGCGCAGCCGACGCAGGGAGAAATAAGCTGGAGCCATTGTTTAGCTTTTCTTTGGCGATTGGCTGGAATCTTCCCTTTACCTGAGTTGTTAACTCCTGCAGGGAGCTCGTCAGGCCCGCTTTGCCCTTATCCACCAGGAGACCCACCACCCAGCCGCCCGCCCCCACGGGGGAGGGGAAATCTCTCACCTTTACTGATAGAATATCGGAGAGAAAGGGTTCTGGTTGGTTGCCCATATAGCAAACCATCTAGAGTGATCCTCAAGTTGTATCGACTCTAATCGTACGTCCAGAAGCAAGACCAGGGACCGCCCCTCCCCACACAATTTTAGTCCCCCAAAGCTAATGAAGTTTTATTTTTATTTTATTTTTTTAAAATTTTTAATGTTTTATTTATTTCTAGGAGAGAGAGAAATAGAGACAGCGTGAGCAGGGGAGGGTCAGAGAGAGAGGGAGTCACAGACTGAAACAGGCTCCAGGCTCTGAGCCGGCAGTCAGCACAGCGCCCGACGCGGGGCTCGAACCCACGAACCGCGAGATCATGACCTAAGCGAAAGTCGGACGCTCAACCGACTAAGCCACCCAGGCGCCCCTATTTTTATTTTTAGTTATTACCCTTCTTGTTGGCCATCTCCTCTTGTTTAGGGAGACACAGCCACAGCCACATCGACACAAAGAAATCTGGAGCATTTGGGCAAATACTCAGAGTCCCAGCCTCCCCCCCACCCTCCGCTCCCAGATTTGGCCACACCAGTCCAGTGGGGGAAGGAGGAGGTGGGGGGAGGGTGGCAGGGGAGGAAGCCGCCAAGGGCCCTACTCAGCTGACGCCCATCTTCCATCATTTAGCAGTTTCTTTGGAGGGAACTGGCCGCGGAGGGGAGACTCCCCAGTAAGGGAGAGACAGGAGAAAAGGGAGGCAATTGCCGGTTTGAGGGCAAATCCAGTCGGTTTATAATTCTGTAATGTCTGGATCATTTCAGCGTCTGGTTTTTTGAGACGACACCAGGAGCCGGGGAGGCTGGCTTGGTGGCTCTCAAGTCGGAGTCCTCCTCCCCAGGGCTCCTTGTGGGGCTCCTGGGGGTGGGGGCTCCGTGTCCGGCAGCTCCCCGTCTCTAGCCTAGATGGTCTTCACCCCCATTCGGCCCACCCTTCCCCGTCTGTTCCCCTTCACACAATGCATCTTCCAGGCTGGCCAAGGATCCCGCTGACCGAGAAACCATCCGCATGATCTCCCACCCCGATTCCAGCAAATCTCTTGCATCTCCTGTGCCTCAGTTTCCCTTTATTTTTAGCGAGGGAGACCCAGAAGATAGCCGAGGCGCCGGTCTAGGCAGGAAAGAAGATTTGGGCAAGGTCGTCTGGAAGGGGATTTGCCCCCAAGCCCCTGCACGGGGGTCGGAGTTGGTCGCCGGTCTTTCCAGAAACATCGAGAGCAGGAAAGCGTCCAGAGTCGCCCCAACGGAAAAGGGTGGGAGCAGCGTATTCACAGGAGCCACGCTCTCGCCCCACGGTTTCCCGGAGGCGGGGGGTGGGGGGGTGCCCAGCTCAGCGCAGGCAGCGTGAGAACCTCAGGCCCGCCGGCTCCCTCAGCAAATCCTCGGAAAACCCGCACCGGGGGCCCGACCTGCTTTCGAGTAAGGCGCGGGAACCGGCCCAACCCGGTGAGACTGCCCGAAGCGGGCCGCAGCGGGCGCGTCGGGGAGCTCAGGGCCCCGGGTTCGGGCCCTCCCCTCTCGCCTTGGGGAGGGGGTCGGGGGGAGGGCGCAGAGGGGCGCGGAGAGGGGTGCATTTCCCTAGAGAAGCCTTTCTTTCCGTCAGGGGTAGGTGCACGCTTTCCTGCCCCGTCTCCTTTCGCCGAAGTCCTGGGCCCCCGATCCCCGCGGCCGCGGAGGGGGACCAGAGGTGCGGGGCTCTGCAGCTCTCCGGGGAAGTCGAGGAGGCCCCCAACAGACAGACACACACACACACACACACACACACACACACACACACACACACACAGAGTGCCTAGGTTTCCACTTAAAAAGGAACGGTTAGACTTTGGCTTCCTTTTTTTTGTCTCAAAGGCGCAAATGGTTTTCCCTTTTCCTTCTTCATTCAGAGGGTCTCAGCTGTGTAGACCTGGCCTAAGAGCTAGAGTTAGATCCTCTACACCTCCGCCTGTACCGAGTACGTCTTTTCTCCCGCACTGCCGGTTAAGTACCTGCTTTCGCATCGTTCTCCTTGCATTGAACTCTGCAAACCTGCTTCAGAAGCAACTGACTTTGTTTTTATATTTTGTCATGCATTAAGCCAACGATCTAATTTTTATTAGTTCCAATTATCTGAGAAAAGCCCACCCTGTAGCGATTATCAAGATTGTGTACACGAGCCCTTCCAAACAGAAATGCGATTCGTTTTTAATTTTTCGAGTTTCAATT